GGGAAGGAGAAGGGAGGGGGATGGGGTTGGGAGTATGCCCCTGTGATGGGTCTGCCGGGACCTGCACTGTGTCTGGCAAGGGGGGGTTGCCAGGGAATGGCGCGGCGAGCGGCGAAACCTCCGCCGCTTTGCAGGGAAGTGGAGGCCGCCGCCCCCAGCCGCCAGCAACGGGCCGGCTGGGGAAACCCAGGCACTGGCCTGCAAGCAGGGGCAGAGGAGAGGGGGCAAGGTGTCCGGCGAGGGGGAATCAGCGGGGAACGGCGCGGTGAGTGGCAAACCCTCCGCCACTTTGCAGGGAGGCGGGGGAAGCCCCGCGCAGCCACGAGCAACGGGCAGGCTGGGGAAATCGTGTTATTCTGGGAATGGTCATGTAATTCAGAAAACATTCCCTAAAAAAAAAAAAAATCGCACTATCGTGAAAACGTGTTAAGCAGGCACATGTTAAAAGAGGAATTACTGTAAATCCTCCTTTGAATGCATCTCTTTCCAAAGCCCAACTCTGAATGGAGTAGTCAGACAAGCTGAATAAGCATCCAAAAGCAGACACACTGATCGGCATCTGGATTGATCCAAGTGGGTCCATGTCCTAGACCTCATGCGGGACACATTCAGATTCTTCTGGGTGGCATTTTCTAGCAAGTTCAGTGTTCTCCTCACTCCGCCGCCATCACCGGGGGTGGGAGTGGGGGTTTCCCATCCGCACAGAATGGGAGCACTGAGAAATCTGGTGGAATCTCCATCCCTAGAGGTTTTTAAGCCCTGGCTTGACAAAGCCCTGGCTGGGATGATTGAGTTGGGTCGGTCCTGCTTTGGGCAGGGGGCTGGACATGATGACCTCCTGAGGTCTCTTCCAGCCTTAGGATTCTATGAAAAACCCAACCTAAATTATCCCTTGAAAACCACAGCTGAAATCCACATCAGAACGAAAACGGCCTGGATCAGATTCTAACAAGAAACTGCCCTTGGATGATTTTGCAGCCTTCTGTCTTTGCATGAGGCAGAGAGCAGTGCGGGGACTGAAAAACGATGACCAACCGTGGCTGTGATTGCTGGGCTGTGTAGTATGCAACCATGGCTGCTGTGCACCAGTGAGGCATGGTGGGAAAGCAGCAGCAGCACCCCTGCAAGGCTAGTTCATTGCTAGGTGAGGTGAGAAGAGCATGCTGGGGTTTGGTAGTTGGGCACAGTGGGTTGTGTGAACGTGGGGGAAGGCTTGGTAGTTACGGGGGCAGAGCACAGGGAATCGGGTTAGGGCAGTATCACTTGGGAGGGTTGGGAAGCATGTCACAAACTGGGAGGTGTTGGCAGCTGGAAGATCAGACTAGAGAAGGAGTTTAGCAACATGTCAGATTGGACAGATTGAGGGGAATTAAGTTAGGAGCCCACGTGAGTCCATGCATTGCCAGAAAGCTCCGCACCAATGTTCCCTCTAGTTATTTCCACCCATGTGCAGAATAAATTGTTATGAGCACCAAGTGCATGTGTACCACCAATAGAAACACACACTCTGCTCGTCAGCTGAGGCAGCACCTGAATTTCGCCTAGGTGGTTGCCCATGCACTCATTGTACAGGCAACACTGCTCTGCACCTGAGAGAAACTGAAGTGGCCTGCCTGAAATCTCAGATTCTATCCAGTCTGAGCTGGGAACGGAACCCAAATTTGCCGAGTGCTTGTCCACAGAACTAGTCTGCCTGTACGTGTCAGTACGGGATGCAGATCGCAAAGTTCTTACTTCTCTCTTTGCTTTATGTACAAGTAACATTCTTAAGGGCAGGGAAGGTGGTTTTCCGCTTTTTTCCTATTTTCATTGATTCTGATGGGATAATCATTAGAGTTGTTAGGCACAAGGAGCAGAATTTGTCCCAGACTGATGCAGCTTCTCATGATAATTTTACAAGTGTGAGGGAGGGTGAGCGTGCTAGAATGCCTGCAACAGAATCCCCTCCTAGCCCATCCTCCTGCCCCTCACTCACCTTGCTGCGGGCTTTGTACACGCAGGCGGTAGCTCCTTGGCCCAGCACGTCATCTGTACTCCAGAGGTAGTTGGGGGTGCTCTGCATTTTCAGCATGAGGCCAGCTCACCTCTGAGCCACAAGGTGAAGACAAGTCTGTGAGGCGAAAAGCCCATTTACACGCCAGCAGAGGGTCAAGCAGCACCAGCCTCCCACTTCTCCTGCCCCCCAAAATGAGTTATGGGACCAGGACACGCAGCCTGGCTAAAGCGATGAACCTCCCGCAGCTCGCAGGGCTCAGATCCTGCCTGTTTCTGCAAGGAGCTTATTGTACCGCAGCCAGCCACGTCTAGCACTAGCACTGAAGCAATATGGAACGTGGCGACAGCTGCTTGTCTGATGTCTAGGGGCTGCAGGAGAATCTCCATCAGATGTCAGCCAAGCGGAGATTTGACACATGGCTGAGTTCTGATTCCATCCAGCTAAGGTCAGCGGTGCACAGACAATACCCACCAGCATAACATGGCGCAATCATGGGTGGTAGGTGAAGATAGGGATGGGGCAAGCCCCAAACCCCACCTCAGCCCTGCCCCCTCTGTCCAGGCCCCGCCCCCATCACGAGAGGGTGGGGTGGCGCACGACCCAAGCCTCCCCGGTCCTGGAGCACCAGGGAAGGCAGGCACTGGGGGGTAGCAACACAGTAACGTTCAGGGGGGAGGGAAGTGTGGGGGGAGCGGTTTGGGAAGGCAGTGCCTTTTGCTTAGCGTACCGTTTGCCCATGAGCACAATCTGTCTCTATCCAGCATTGTTATTCAGGGGTCACCAACCCACTTCCCCCTGGCGCATTCTCCTGTCTCCACTGGCCTCCTTCCCCGACACCTCTGCTGTTTCTTGATAAAGTTCAGGAAAGTGGAGACGTTCTGTCACCCTTAAAGCAGCTAGCCACCAGCCTCCCTCTGCCAGCAGCAGGACAGCA